GTTTCAACCTCTCAGCACAATCCAAAGAAATGAAAGAATGAGTTGCACCAGTATCAATAATTGCAACTAAAGGTGTGCCATGAATAAAACACGTACCTTTTATCAATCGATCCTCTGGAGTAGTCTCAGATCCAGACAGAGCGAACACTTTTCCACCTGACTGATCCTTCCTAGGCTTAGGACACTGCGGACGAATGTGACCTTCTTCGCCACAATTATAACAAGTGACAGACTTCCCCTTGCAATCACTAGACAAATGACCAGTCTTTCCACATTTATAGCATTTCTTCTCATCACTCTTGCAATCTCGAATGTGATGACCAAATTCACCACACCTGTAGCATCTGATAGGAGCCTTAGAATCTCCCCCACTAGGCCTTTTCCATCCACCTGATTTCTGGTTATCTCTACCATATGGCTTGCCACGGTCCATATGTTGCTTTCCTCTTTTATCAACAGCCCCACGAGAGTGAGACGACCTATTCTTGGTAATATCTTCTTCCAAGATCCTGCTACAATCCACCAGATCAGAAAATCTACGAATACGCTGGTACCTGATTCCATGCTTAATCTCATCTCGGAGACCATTCTCAAACTTGATACATTTAGAGAATTCTCCAGCCTCATCATTGTTGTAGTGTGCATAATACTTTGCCAGCTCAGTGAACTTAGTAGCATATTCACTGACAGTCAGATTGCCCTGCTTAAGCTCCAAAAATTCAATTTCCTTTCTTCCCCGAACATCTTCAGGAAAGTACCTCCTCAGAAAAGCCCTTCTGAAGTTAGCCCAAGTCAGTGCCTCTCCATCCTGAACCATTTCAGTCCTTGTGGCAACCCACCAGTCGTCGACCTCTTCTGCCAACATATGCGTACCATATCTGACTTTCAGATCTTCAGCACAATCAATCACACGGAAAATCCTTTCGATTTCCTTCAGCCACTTCTGAGCACCTTCAGGGTCATGTGTACCTTTGAACAACGGAGGATTGTTCCTTTGGAAATTTCCCAATTGCCTATCAGCACCAATCACGCCTCCAGTTGGGTTTCCAGCAAGTACACCAGCTAACATCCCCAAAGCCTCAGCTAGTGCAGCATCATTTCATCCGTTACCTCCTCCAGCCATATTCCTGAGAATTAAAACATACTCTTCATTAGAATACAGTATCGACAGTGTTACCTTACACTAATCGCATACAAAAGGGATGACTGACTCAAGACTCTGGTCGCAACGACCGACTATGCTCTGATACCACTATTGTAACACCCTCTAAAACCCCAAGTAATTTTCGCAATTATTAAAAGCATAATATCAGAGTACATGTATAATTCGAGGATGCTACAATTCTCTTTTAATAAAACAACAAATTCCTGTCATGCATAATCTTAGTAGTAACTCATACATGTTTACACAGCGGAATAATTTATTTAATAAAACCAAAGTTATAATATTTTCAATCATCAGGGATTAACACCTGGAATATATCAACATTATATTATAACCAAATACTAAGGAAATAAACGAGTCTGACTAAAGCAGCTCGACAAACAAACGTTCCCGGAGTTACAACTATCAGAGCATGACCCGGACAATACTAAAACGGAAATAAACTAGACACCACAAGCCTTCGCCAAGCACCTGAACGAAGCTCCTCAATCTGAAATATTCAACAGTAAGGGTGAGCATCTCAATTATACATTTGATTATACGTTCATAACAATCAATTCAGGAAATCATAAGCATCACCCAATAATTAGCATATTTCATAGTTTACAAAAACCTTACAATTCATATATCCATGATACCTTGCTTTTCATATTTGCAAATAATCATCAAACATCGTCAACCATTTAGCAATCATACGTGCATACAAACAATCAAATACAACATTGGAAAAACCATCCATTCATGTCGTATTCAAGGTAATGCAACACACCCATGCATGTGGTACCACTTTACCGCCCCATTAAATCTCGGGTCACGGATATCTCACCGTTCCATTATATCGCGGACACGGCTACCACCTCAACGTTCCATTAAATCGCGGACACATATATTGGCCACCATGTTAATTCCACACAATGGGAATTAACAAATGCAACATGATATGTAAGTATGTAACACTCAGCATACTATGAACATCAATCAACATATCATGCATATCAACAACATCAATCATAACAGGATATGGATAGCATGTAATCACTCAGCATACTATTTAAACATCAATCATATCAAGTCATATCATAAATTCATGCTCGATAACATTATCCAAAAGCATGGCAATAAAATCCCAAAATCGAGCACTGAAAACAAATTCAGAAAAATCAACACAGTGGCCTCAACACGGGTGCCCGTGTTGTGCAACACGGCCCGTGTTGGGCAATACGTCCAGAAAACACAATTTTTCCTCATCAATACAGGGACTCAACACGGGTGCCCGTGTTGTGCAACACGGCCCGTGTTGTAACATATCCAGAAACACACATTTTTCTCATTACAGGGGACCTAACACGGGTACCCGTGTTGTGCAACACGGCCCGTGTCGTGCAACCAGAAGCACATCATCTCCCAACACAGAAGAGCAACACGGGCGCCCGTGTTGTGCAACACGGCCCGTGTTGCTGAGCGCGTACAGGATTTTCCTGAACCTGCAGCAGCTCAGAAACAGCAGCCAAACGCGGAAAATGTCGGCTAAACTCGCATTTCGGTACCTAACGACATCGATGTTTCACAACTCAAAACAACACATTCATTTCATAATTACCAACAATTATTATAGTAACCTTAACAGTGATTACTCGTCCCTTTTTGGGGAATTTCTGAAAACATTTGGGTTATCCCTAAACCTCTAAGGTAAATTCACGATCATGCAGTTATACTCCCAATCCATCATTTGGAACCTAAAATTCCTAATCGATTCATAATAATTGGGAACCTAACCCTTTTCTAACAAGGTTCAATCCTAAGGGTATCGATTCCTAGTAACATCTAACAATTGGGGTTTTTCCCTACGATTACCCAAATCAACCGTACATAAACCCATAAACAAAGGTAAATCGAGTAATAGCCCCCCTTACCTTATCAATTAGCAGCTTTGAACTTTTTAGCGATGTTCTTCGTTCTTCGTTCTTCGTACCTTCAGAGCTCTATTTCCCCAAATTCCCAACTTCTGTTTATCGTGAGAAATGAGAAAACTAACTTGAGTTCCAAAACATAACTTTACTTCTTTTTCACCCCCACTCTTTACTAACAACATCCAAGCCCAATAACTTAAAAACTCAGCATTTCTTATTTTCTTTTATTTTCCTCCATATTTCAAAATAAATAATTCCTTTTTATTTTATTAATTCCAATAAAATAATTTTCCCATTAAAATAAATCAATAATTAAAACTGGGGTGTTACAAGACCCCTCTTCAAGATTTGAGTCAAATGCACCGATTAGTGTCGATTTCACCGAAGCTTGGATAATCGAACACTGAAAAACAACACATGAAGAGGTAAAAATGCAATATTTTGGCAAAATAACAAAAAATTAAATATCGGATGACAGCTAATAAACAACAATTGTAACACTCACTTTGTCATCAATCAAAATCATTTCTAAACTGGTAATAGTATTGTGGTCATTCCAAGAATGGACTTTCCACAAGCTTCGTATACGAACTTTAATCTGCCAGTTCAGTTTTGGGGGAACAATTTCAGAAATCACGCTGATACATAAAGTCATTATGCATAAATTGCAAAAGAAAGAATAAAAACAATTAATCGATATAGATGAAGTCAAAACATGAAAACAATTGTGGATTAAAAACTCTAAATAAACATTTTATTTACCTAAACCTTGGTGTGGGTTTAGGGTTTGGAGAGCATATTGTGCCTTAATGAAGGTTGGATCTATTTATACTAAAATCAGGATGATAATAGTGTTATTAGAAACTGCATCGGAAATCGTAAAAGAATTGAAAAGGTAGATTCAAAGAATAGAGAAAAGTAGAAGTAGACAAATTTTGAGAATTCATCATTCCTTACACCGTCTCAATATTTAGCCGTCTCACTATTAAAGAGGTGGGTGTAATTACACAATTTACACAAATACTTATAAAAAAATCATTAATAATTTTAGATGGCAGTCTCCATTAACCTAATATTTATTACTAACCTAATTACTAACCTAATACTTATAAAATAATATTTTATATTTAATATAGTAGTTAATTTGAAGATTTTTTATAATATTGGTATTGTATAGCAATTATTACTAACTTAATATTTATAAAAAAATATTTTATATTTAATACAGTAGTTAATTTGAAGATTTTTTTATAATATTGGTCTTGTATAGCAATTATGAATGTGTAAAATAATCAAATATTATTTAGTAATTTAAAAAATATGTAAATTATTTTAGATAAAAAATATTCGTATTTAATTTGAAATTTATTTTTTGACAATGAATTTATAATAAATCAAATATTTGTATTTAATACTTTTTAAAAGAAGAGTAAGGGTGGTGGTTAAATAAACAAAAGATATTTAGTTTTGGTTAAAATGAGGCCGAGTTTTAGATGGGATGTAAATTCTTAGGTATTTAAAAGGGAGGCTGAGTTGTGTATTTTAAGAAAACCATTCATGCATTGTTACCTGAAACGTCACCCTAACTAATTAAGTGATAGGATAATAACATTAATTACAATAATAATAATAATAATAATTATTTTTATATTATTTTATTGAAAAGAGTGGTTGAATTTGAGATTTAAGCTGATTGGGTTTGAAAATTAGGCGGCAAAAAGTAGTAGCATAGTATTTTGCCTTAAGGATAAGTTCATTTCTCCATGTGTCACACTCACAATCTCCTCTCTCTCTCTTTTGTTCCTGTTGCAGTTTGCTTCAGCTTCTATTACATCCGTGAGTCTTGTTTTCATGTTCATTTTTGTTCTATGGTGATCAATTGTTTTTGTTCTACTCAATAGTTGCTTTGTTTAGCTTGCTTGTAAATGGAGAATGTGGAGGTGGTTACGGTGAAGGCAATCGAAGCAACTCCATCAACCTTCCAAGACTACGGTCAGGTCATTGAGCCTTCACCGGACACCCAGGGGTTTGGTCCCTACGATGCTCAACTTGATCTCAGTCAAGGGATTCCCAGGTTTTTATTCAACCTTCTATTTTTATCAACTTATCAATCTTTTATCCTCCTGTATCTTGTTCATTTTGATATTAGGCATTTGGTAGATTTGGCCATGTATTAATTAACTACGGTTAAACCGTGATAAAAAAATTGAAGATCGTATTTAATCATGGTTATAACATGACAAATTTATTATAAGACTTTATTTAACCATGAAAATTTTGATGTTCTGAGTTGTAACACACATTGCACACTTTTACATACGGTTTTAAAGTATTGGTTTAGAAAATTAAGTCTCTGAAAATTTAATATCCTAAATTTTTTTAAATTTTTTTTTAATAAGATATTTATTTATAATATAGTTATAATATAATTAAATTGAATTATTACTAATAAAGAATAACTTAAGTTTATAATTGAAAATTAAATATTAAAGTAAATTTATGAATTGAAATTAAAATAATTAAATTTCTAATTATAATTGTGCGATGTAATTTTAAAAGATAAGAAATATTTTTTAATTATAATTTTAAAAGTTAAATTTAATTTAGATGATATTTTTTAGTTTTTATTATAAAATTGATAATTAATTATTATGTTGTAATTAGAAAATTTATTATATTAAAAAGATATTTATATTATAATTAAAAGTTGAATGTTATTAATAATAATAATTATAAAATATGACATTTAATATTAAATGAATAGATTCTTGTAAAAAAATGACGAATAATTTATAAACTATATATATATATATATATATATATATATATTTCGAATATACATATTCGAAATAATCCAATATTGAATTATTGACTTATTTCGTATATGCATATTCGAATGAACCCTTAAAAAATTAAAATTTGATACGTTCGAATATACACACTAAAATTTAAAAGTATTTTAGATTTTTCACCAAAGACCTCCAAAAAGGCACCCAGGTAGGAAAAGAACTCCCTTATGATGTACATATCCCTCAACTGGCATGATAATCCTTAAGAAATCATATTAGAAAAACTTGATGATAGTCACATTACATTGTGAGTTATAAAGCTTGAACCTGTGGCCAAATTTTCAATGCCACTTTTACTAGTTGTTGTCATCAACTTTGATGGGTTAAATTCATAGGATGTATTTACTGTTTTATTTTCGGTTGCTTCTAGTAATTTCTTGTTGTTTGGGTTGTGTTAACTTGAGATTAAATGCATAAAGTTACCTTTTATTTTTTTGTCTCTTGTTGTTGATATGGATACATTTAAGTTATGTAGTACCCTATTGTCCTGACATTAACCCAACAGACAATTACATATCAAATTTGAGAGGCTGGAAATTTTGGAATCCATTGAAGAAACTTTGCAAAAGACACTTCAAAATCTGTTTTTCTATGCATATTTCATCAACTCAATTTAGTTGGTATTAGTATTAGAATCTTTAATTCCGTTTGCCATTGAGCTCCAAGTCCTCCAGCAAATCATATGATGCCATAACTTATTGAAATTAATTTGTGTTCGGTAGGTTCTATATTATCCATTTTGAGAACTGCCCACTTAAATTTTCTGATATCACACACCATGCAAGTGTGACTCAATGTCTTGGGTCCATTGGTGGTAATGTTTGGTATATCGGAGTGGCTAAGCCGTCTATAGTCGATTCGAATGAAATCAAGGATGACTCAGGCAAGACAGTCGTGAAGTCACGCAGTGGTCATTTTTATGTGCCTCCCACCATCGAGGATGTCCAAGTTTTCAAGGTGTCGGGTCCCAAATTTCTCAAGCTTAATCGTGGGACATGGCATGTCGGACCGCTATTTACGTCCGAGGCAATGGACTTTTGCATTTTAGAACTTACCAATACAAATGTGAGATTTTGGCTTTCCCTTTCATTTGAGTGTTACTTGCTCTTGAAGTCATTTGCAATGTTTGTGATGGTTTATATATGGTTTTTTGTTTCGTGTACAGGTAGTTGATCGTACCACACACAACTTTAAGAAGCAGAATGGAATAGCTTTTTTAGTTGTTGAGTAATTTGAGCTTTTTCTTATTTCCAGCATTTCAACTTATTCTTTTTCAGTTGAGTAATTTGAGCTTTTTCTTGTTTCCAGCATTTCAACTGATTCTGCATATTGTGTACCATTAAACTAGTGTACATGATTTCTGGAAATTTAAGCAAGTGTCTCGTTTAGCAACTAAATCACACTTTACATGCAGAACATTTGTTGAATTTTTAATTTCAAGGCAATAGAAAAATAACCAAAAGATAAGATGGTCACAATTTTATAAAGAAGCTTAATTGGTGTGGTAGTTACTTGGACAATTATATCAATCATGAAAATGATAGGATTTGGGTCTTTTGGGATGATAGTAAAGTTGACATTAAACCTATCAAGAGTACCAATCAGTTGATTCATTGGTAATATTCATAATCAGTAACATGGTCCTTGGTTTCTCATAGGGGACTTTAACAATGTGTCAACTCTCAGGATAGAATTGGTGGGAAATTAGTCACTAAATATGAATATGTGGATTTAAACAAGATTTTGGAGAGTACAAGGTTGTTAGAGAAGGATAATATAGAAGATTATTATACATGGTCCAACAAGCATACTGAAGGAATCATTTACTCTAGAATAGACAGGGTACTGGGTAATGTTGCTTGGCTTCAAAGGAATCAGAACACTACTCTGCAAATTCTTGCTCCTAGTGTCTCAGATCATTCTATGATCTGTTTATCTGGGTTGGATAAGAGGGATTATAATAAAGCTTATTTTAAATTCATAAATAGTGTGGTGAATACTGCAGGTTTTCTTAATGCGGTTGCTAATAACTGGAATATGCCTCTGATTGGGAGACCTATGTATGTTTTATGGCATAAATTAAAAAGGCGCCAGCCTGCCATAAAGCTAAAGCTAGAACTGAATTGCATACAACCCAAGATCCTTTGATTAATTACAGATGGAATGTGTTGAAGATTGAGGAGGTTAAAAGGTGCACCAATAATATTCTGCAATGGCATGATTGGAAGAGCAAATGTTGAAGCAAAAATCCAAAATTGACTGGCTTAGATTGGGGACAATAATATAACTTATTTTCATGCCACTCTTAAAGTGAAACACCAAACTAACTGTCGGAAACTTCTTCATAAGGAGGATGGCAACCATATCCACGACCATGATGATCCTGAAAAGGAAATCATGGATTTCTATGGGAGGCTTATGGGGACTAAAGATTTGAATCTGACCCACATTGATATTCCACCCATCAGAGGGGGACCCCAATTAAACTTGCATCAAAGATTGGCTCTTGTTGCTCTTGTTAATGAAGAGGAAATTCTTGTTTCTCACAAAGTTATAGGTGACATCAGATCCCCTTGCATAGATGCCTATGGGAAAAAATTCTTCAAAACTAGTTGGTGTGTCATTAAGACTGACCTGATAGCTGCTGTCCAAGAATTTTTCACTAAAACCTATTTGTTCAAGGCATTTAACAACACTATGGTAACACTTATTCCCAAATTAGCTGAAGCCAAGTCTATAAAGGAGTATAGACCGATTGCAGGTTGTACTACCTTTTACAAGATCATTTTTAAAATCCTAATAACTAGACTTGGTAGAGTTCTTGGTAGCATTATTAGTCACATCCATGTTGCCTTTGTTCCAGGTTAGAAAATCCACAACCATATAATGTTGGCCTATGATCTTCTGAAGGGTTATAGTAGGAAGGGAGGAACTCTTAGATGTATGATGCAACTAGACTTGCACAAGGCTTATGACATGGTGGATTGGATGGCCCTTGATAGTATCCTAAAGGAGATAGGTATTCCAAATCGATTTGTTAGATGGATTATGCTAACAGTTTCCATTGTCTCTTACAGGTTCAATATTAATGGCAAGTACACAAATATTATGGAAGCTAGAAGGGGAATTAGACAAGGGGATCCACTGTCCCATATTCTCTTTGTCATCATTATGGAGTACCTCAACAGATGCCTTCACAAAATGTAGAGAAACCAAGATTTCAATCATCGTGTCAAGTGTGAAAGGATGCATCTCACTAATTTGACATTTTTTGATGATTTATTGTTATTTGCCAGAAGCGATTATGTTTTTGTTGATATGATGCAGAAGACTCTCAACAGCTTCATCAATTATACAAGTCTCAAGGTAAATCCAGCCAAGAGCAATATTTATTTTGGGAGTGTGCCTGATAGTGTTAAGGAAGACACCATCAACCTGAAATCATACAAAGAAGGTAGTCTTCCTTTTAGATATTTGGGTGTCCCTTTGACAAGCAGGAAATTATCTATTATTCACTACATGCCACTAGTGAATAAAATAGTTGGTAGAATAACACACTGGAGCTCCAGATTATTGAGTTATGTTGGCAAGTGCAACTCATCAGGAGTGTGGTCTTTACAATAACAAATTGTTGGTTGTAGTTTTTCTTGATTCCTAAGGCTGTTATTCATAAAATAGAGAAATTTGTAGGTCTTTCCTCTGGATAGGTAATGCCTTTATTAGTAGGAAGAGTCTGATGGCTTGGAGAAATATTTGTAAGCCTATAACTCAAGGAGGTCTTAAAGTGATTTCCTTGGAGTTATAGAATCAGGTGTTTATGCTCAAGTTGCTTTGGAATTTATGTGCCAAGTCTGATAGCTTGTGGGTGAAGTGGATGAATTCATACTATCTAAGGGAAAAAGATGTCATGACAGTCACTATTAACTAGAGTGACTTGTGGATAATGAAGTCTATCTTGAAGCAAAGGGAAATTGTTGGGAGGGTTTTGAATCTATGGGACCAAATGATTCCCATGGGAAACTTTAATATGAGGAATATGTATTTGGCTATGTCTAAAGTTGAGCCTAAAATGATATGACCTTACCTTTTCTATCAAAATAATGCAAGACCAAGGGCTCATATGTTCTTGTGGTTAGTTTGTCATGGGAAAGTAGCCACGAAGAGGCATCTGCATAGGTTTGGTCTGATAAGATTCTGTTAAGTGTTGTTTCTGTTCTAAAGATGAACCCTTGCATAATTTGTTCTTTGGCTATGATGATATGAAGAGCTCGTGGCAGAAGGTTCTAAGCTGGATTTACATTCAGCATAAACCAATGGAGTGGAATGAAGAATTTAAACAGGTCTTAGCACATTGTAAAGGCAAAGGTTGGAGACCCGATTTTATTAAATTGGCTTTAAGTGAAACCTTGTATGAGTTGTGGAGCTATCGTAATAACATTTGTTTCGGGAATAATGTTAATAATAGAAATGTAGAGGGAAAATCATAAAAATAATTACCAATGGAGGGTGGACTAGTCCTAAGTTTAGACCACATATATAGCTGAGTTGATGTTACCATAGGTGGGTTTTTTTGGTTTCTTTGTTACTTGGGTGGCTGGATCCTAGCGATCGCTGTGTATAGAATGTTTTTTGAATTAATATAACTTGTTTTGATTATAATAATAATAATAATAATAATAATAATAATAATAATAATAATAATAATAATAATAATAATAATAATAATAATAATAATAATAATAATAACAACAATAACAAATGATTTTTTTTTGCAATAATCAAGTATTAAAAAAAATACATCAATAACCACGTTTATGGAAAAAATTATCCAAATAACCAAGTTTCAGAAATGACATAAGAGGAAGAGCCAGATAGATGGCGCATGCATGCATTTTTTGAATGTATGCACCATAACGTTAGTGTGTGAGACACTTTTAATGATGGGAGAAAGAGAGAATAAAGGAACTATGTATTCTATTATTGAATGAATTGTATTGTACAAATAATGATATAAATTAGGATTATTTATATACAATCCTAATTAAGCTTCGGATTACACAAATTAGATTATATTTAAATATTAAATCTAATATTTCAAAATCCCTCATAATCCAAGTTGTCGAACCTATGCTAGTCATAGTCAATCTGAACTATTCTTAATTTCTTTCTCAAATTCAGGAATTTTCCGAGCTTCAATTCTTTGGTGAAAATTTCATCCAACTGTGCTTCACTCGAGCAATGTCTTACTTCAAGTTCATCTCGATTTACCTTTTCCCTCAAGAAGTGAAATCTAGCTTCGATAAGCTTACTTCTTCCATAGTTTATCGATCCTTTTAAGTGTCTCAAAATTCTTTTTGCAACCTTCATGTGCGACACTCTTGATCCACTCATGTATCCGCTCACTAATTTGACTGTGAAACCTATATCAGGTCGGCTATTGCACACATACCTAAGAGATTCCACAATTTGCTTGAACAAAGTTGCGTTGACTTTGTCTTCATCTCTATTCTTCTCCAACTTCACATTTGGTTTAACAGACTTTTCAAAGGCTAACTCTGATGAAGGGCTATTCCAGCATTTTCTTCAGAAGATCATATTCAAGACCCCTGCTGGTTCAGTTTCAATCAACCCTTGATTTATTCTGATTCTTTTCTGGTAGATACTTTCTCTGGTTCAGTTAAATCGACCCTAAGATTTTCTGATCCAGTTAAAGATACTGCAAAGCCTGGAGTCCGACCAGATAGCAGTTTATTTGGTTAATTACTATGAAGTCTGGACCCGACCAGATGATAGTATAACCTATGACACCGAAGCCTGGACCCGACCAGATAACAATATTCCTCAAATTCAAGTTGAAGCCTGGACCCGGCCAAATAAAAGATTAATTTCTTCAAATCACCGAAGCCTGGATACGACCAGATAACGGTATACCTCAGATTCAAGTTGAAGCCTGGACCCGACCAGATAACAACTTAATTTCTTCAAATACTGAAGCCTGGATACGACCAGATAACGGTATACCTCATTGTTGTACCCCAAAATTTGCCATCTCATTCTTCAAGGTCTTTCTCACAAGGTTTCTCAAGGTTCAAGCTTGCACAAGTACTTTGGAATTTTCCAGTACCAAAATTAAAAGGAAACTGTCAAAAAGGGAGAAAACAGATAAAAATATTATTTTGACAAAATTTAGAGAAATACAAGTGTTCTTCGTTTCAGCCCCTTTGATTGGCC